CAGAATTGAGAAGACAGCAACAGACAGCAAATGCTGCCTCTGCAAAAAAGCTGAAGAAACAGTAGACCACCTAGTTAGCTGCTGCAAGAAGATCATGCAGACTGACTATAAATAATAGCATGACAAAATAGCAACAATGGTGCACTGGAATATCTGCAAGAAATACTATTTGCCTGCAAGCAAGAATTGGTGGGATCACAAAACAAAGTAATAGAAAATGAAGAAGCTGAAGTACTCTGGGATTTTACAATTCAAACAGACAAGCATTTGCCGCACAACACTCCAGACTTAACAATTGTTGATAAGAAAGACAAAAAGTCTGGATAGTGGACATTGCAATACTTGGAGACAGCAGAATAGAAGAGAAAGAACTGGAGAAAATCACAAAATATGAAGACCTGCAAATAGAAATAGAATGACTATAGGAAAAGAAAGCAAAGATAGTATCAATAGTAATAGGCGCTTTAGGTGCAATCCCAAAACATCTGGAGCACCAGTTGAACACCATTGGCATTGACAAAACTTGGAACAGCTTATATCCTGCGACGATACCTTTAACACCATCAAACCATCAAACAACATCTACCTATCCCAAGTCCTTGGGAAGGACTTGATAGGTGGATAAAAATGCCAAATTCAGTCTAAACATCTGGCTGACTCTGCGACCAATCATCATCATCATCATAAGCTTGGGACATTTCAACAGCTCTACCTTTTTAATGGTATATCCCAGATTCATTGTTTGTATGCCACACTGAAAATTATTCTATGTATGCAAACCCTAGAATTTAGGCTTAAACTAATATGTGATCTTCCTTACAACATTCCAAATTGTAATATTCCAATAGGTAATGATTTGCATAATTTTAAATAACTCAAATAACATGCCAGTTATAAAAAGAGCTTTCTATCATGCATGTCGTCCATGTGATACTGTGCTTTTACCTCTGTAATGGTTTTTTCTAATGCTTCCACATATGCCTCTGGTGACAGCATTATTGGAGACAGCATTGCAGCTTCTATAGCTTTCTGGACCACTTCTTGAACATCTGGGTGGTCAAGAGGAATCTCTAACTCTGTTTGCAGTGTAGAGGTGTCTGTTCATTATGTAGAAAAAATCCATGCGTAAGTACCTCAAAATGTATTGAACTGTGTATAAAATCCTCTTAGTTGCTGAAGGGAGGCTTCCACTAGTGGAATAGGAGGGCCCTTCTTTCCAAATCTGAACTGAAGGACTGGGTGAACCTCTCAAACAAATTTGGTGGGAGCAGGGAGAAGAGGGAAAGGGGAAACTGCATTGCTTGAGCAAAATTCTACTCACACAATATTTGATACTGTTCTATATATTCTTTTGGATAGTTTTTTATATGGCACTGGCTTTGTTATGGGTTCAAAGAACATATTACAAAATATAGATTTCATATTAATTTTATAAAGCATAGAAACCTAGCTTGTTAGTGATAGGGAGCCTGGTCTAAAACAAGAACATTACCAGTCTGTCTTCCCCTATTACTGTACACATGATACCAAAGGTTAAAGAGAAATATTTAGGACAGGAAGCACAGAAAGAATCTCACAGAGGATTGCATACTAGTAGCAAAAGGAGGGGCTAGTATTACTTGCCATCATATTTTTTCCAACCTGGAGGGATAATAAAAATCCTGATCCAGGTAGAGATAAAGAGCCTTATTATGCTGAGAGAGGAGCATCAGTTTGACTCTTCCATTAATTACACAGTGAAACAGCAGAAGCAGAAAATGCTGGGCTAGTGCTATTGCCTGTGCAAGCACTCTATCAAATCATGCCCACATCACAGAAATAGGTACCTGAGGGTGAAAGATGCTCACCTCCATTGCTCTCAATATCATAGAAATATGGGAAGCAAGTGAGCAAATATCCTATAACCCACTAATAAATATATATTCTACAATTACAACAAGTAGTACTTCCGCTACGAATATTAATGCTGCTTACTTCAGCCTTTCAAGGTAGGCCAAGTCAGAAAACAGACTCCACAAATCTGAACTGGAACTCTACTTTGATATAGGCTCTAGTAACAGAATCTTGAAAGCCTGACTGAGTTTTCCCCTCCTGACCTCTTATACTCTAGTGAATTAGGGAAGAGTCAATATGAGTTTCTTTCCTACACTTTCACTGTTTCCCAGCTTAATGTATGCTTTACATAACTATCATTGTCTCTAATTTCCACATGCTATCAGTAATACCTGTTTGTTCTGTAGTCTGAGATGAAGACATCTCTTCATTCTCCTCTTCTTCTTTTATTACACTCTCTTCTTGTATGACACTGCTATCTAGAACAGGTATAGATGAGAAAAACACATTGAGTTATTCAGACAATGTTTTTCTGTGTATCCATATGGTTGGTTCAGATAGTACTCTAAATCATAATATGGTTTCTTTGGATTTACTTAGACTGATGTGTGTATCCAGCTGCTAAAAAGAATTTATTTGAGTAGACACCAGCACAGCAAGGAACCCTTATATCAAGAATCTGTGCAGTGTAAAACAGGTTACAGGTTCTATTTGATGCTCTTGGTGTAATGAGAAACCACACTGATGGATCTTTAAAATTAGGTGTGCAGGAGCAAAGCTCAATAATCATTACTGCAGGACATAGGAAGTAGAAGGTTAAGTTTTCTCTTTCTGGCTATGATCTCACTATCTTTAACCTCCTTTCCCTCCATAAACATATAGGAATTATAATTTGGAAAAATTAGACTGATTGCCAAACTGCAGGTGTCCAATTTCAGAGAAGATTACTCTTTGAGTTGGTAATGAATAGTCAGGCATGGATTGGAAATACACTGGCAGGATTCTTCCAAAGACAGAGAAGTTCTTATAGATGCCAAGTATATATATAAAAAAAGCATATACTGACAAATGTATTCCTCCCCCCTCCATATCCCTCTCTTGTTCCCCAGTAGCAACTTCAAGCTGTGGCAGGAGTTGTTTCTGTGTGGCTCTGTGGTTGTGAAAGAGAAGGAATGAGAGAGAGAGAGAAAGAGAAAACGCTTTAACTGATATTTGCCTAGGTAGAAAAAAGTATGGGTACATACTTCAAAGGAACACTCCCCCTCCAAAATTTGGTAGATGTAACTTTGATCAGGAAAATAACGTAGAAGGAAAGGATTAAAATTTTCCCTGTGCCATAGCTTACATCCAGAATCCTTTTTTCCCCCTCTCCACTGTTTATTAGATTTTTAAAAAAGAGATGGATAATATGCTTTTCTAATATATAACTCTATCACAAAGAAGAGTTTGGTCTTGAAAGTAAATATTTTCAGCTGGAAAATGAAGAATGGCTTCAAATGTATTTGAGAGAAAACAAAAAACAAATGTACTTTAGCTAACAGAAGTTTAAGGAACATAGACTTACACCACAATCCAACACACGACTACCCAGAATTAGGTCTCATTGAATTCAGTGGAATTTAATCCTAGAGAATTGGAATAGGATTGCAGACTTAAACTTATGCCTGGTTGCCTGAACCATTTGGGTATAATCATGAAGATTAAAATACAGTACAGTGTATGTAACTGTCTCCTCAAAATGGACTTGCACGAATATCAGATCTGCTTTCAAATTCCAAGTAGAATAAAAATAATTTGTCTATAATTTATTATATCTTATTTATTGTTAACTTTATAATTTTTATTAATAATGACTATCTTCCTTTGGTATAAACTGAAATAATTTAAGACTAATAAATAAAACCTGAAACATATTCTTCCCCTTCTTCTTTCATATACTAGAGGAAAAGATTGGACAAGTGAAAAACCACTTTACCTGTAGTTTGTTTAAATTTCAGTTAAATAAGAACAAACCAATAATAAAGCATAGCTTCAGGACTTGGATGATTTTAATAAATAACTCCCTGGGCTCTAGCATCATAGGGAATTATGGCATGAATAAAAGTGGAAACAACTTTTATTCTTCCACTCTTCACCTTATTTCCATAAAACAAAGGAAAGGAGAATGATTGTGGTAGTCTGAACTTTGCTACTCTTGCTTCATATAGCAGTAAACTATGGTCTCCCATTATTTTTGAATTAGACCAATGTATCAATTCATTACAGGACTGTATAACTTCAGGCTTCAGGATTGGGAACATATAGATTTGAATGATTCCGCTTACAAAAACTAGATGCATACTTTGTATCAGAAAAAAGATCCCAGCCTGTTTATTTGATCAGTTCATTTTGAATACACAGGCAGGTTCTTTCACAAAAGAAAATATTCACCTGCTCCCTGACCAAGTTTAACACAGTCCAGCAATGGAGAAATAATGCCAAGCTTATATCCATATCACAACAAAATGTATCAAAAGTCTTCTGACAACCTAAAAAAGTGGATTCGAAGGTCAGGGCTTACTTCACTATGCAGGGGGGCTCTGCAGGTATGTCCTATTCTTCTATAGAATGTATGAAAAACCAAATCCTTAGATTACCTTTTTGGCTACCAATTGTTGAAACACTAGGCAGCATCGAACTCCTTTCATCTGTGGGAACACTATCTTCATCGTTTTCCAGTTCCTTGTCACCTAGTTCTGGGGCAAACAGTAGAGCTATAAAAGATAATTAACATAATTAAGATGAAGAATTTCTATTTACAAAAAGGGTACAGGCAATCTCAGAAGTCTTAAAAAACACAACGGGCATTAATAAACACAACAACACAACAGATTCCATTTGTTAACAAACACAACAGATTACATTTGTTAATTGATAAGGTATTTGTAACCTGCATCTGCTAACAAACCTGTTTTCCCCACCCCCACCTCACCCCAATTTAAATCTAGCCACTCTGCATCTGATGACAGGAGGTGCGGCTCACAAAATCTTATGCTTTTTAATACAATTTGTTAGTTGGAAAACGTGCTAAAAAACACCTTTTGACCTTTTTGCTAATTGAGTTTGCAATTGTTTTAGTTGCTGAACACAAACAACGACAAGGAAATGTCTGTCATTCGGAAGTGATATAAGCCCTGCGTGGAAATGTCTCTGGTTTAGTCAGTTCACGAAGCTACAATTTGCCACCCTAGCCTTACAAGATCCCTGCTCATTCTCTCCATTACAGGAAGATTAGTGAAGATTGCTTTTGGTTCCAATAGAAGAGAATATATGTAGAGTAGGACTGTTTTGGGGTTTAGCTAGCATTCACCTGCCATTGGGCGAGGAGATGTTGCAGCAGATTAAAAACTGGTGGCAGAAAAACTAAGCTAAAAGTTGTTTGGCAATAAAAATGTATGGTTGGATGGATGGATGCATATAAGTTTATACAGCCAAGCTCCAGAAACAAGTCCTGGTGGTTTGCATATAAAAACATTAAACAAGATTAAAGACATAAAACCAGAATAAATAACCAGCTTAAACATATATTTTTCTCAAAAATAATATTATATAAATATTACTGTACTGAAATAATATACTGTATTAAAATTGAGAAGATGGAGTACTAGATGGTTTATCTGGCTAGATTTAATAATATGTTGAAGGACTGGGCTAGTTTTATATTAATACTTTATGTGTATATCTCTAGTTTCTTCAAATGTCCCTCAATTAATTACTATTTTGTATATCCTTTTTTGATAATATTAGCAATGTTATATTTTTGGTTGTACTTCATCAGATCTTCTCATTATTATACTTCACCAATAAAATATTTAAATATTAAAAAAATAACATCCCAATGGAGAAGAAAAAAATATTTACCTCATCCTTCTCATAGAATTTCAAATAGCGACTCACTGCATGCAGTCACCCACTGCAATGGTCATTCTTTCATTCATCAAGTCCTTGCATAAGCATTCCACAGAACTTTTGAATCAAAGCTGCCATGTGTATAACTCATAGCCCTTCCAGGGGGAACAGAACCTACTATACCTGAACAGCTAAGCATTTCAGCTTTGACATGGAACAGCCTTACCTTGCTCCCTCAACTGCTGCTCTACTTCCATTTTCTCTTTCACTTTGGCAATCCCTGCTAGGGTTGCTTCAGCTCGGGTCTGCTCAATGAGTTCTATCCTTGCTTCTTCATAATGTCTTTGCAGAAGAACTTCCATGTCAAGAACCTACAGAAAACCATTGAACATGACATCTAAGGGATGGAGAAGCAGATACCTGCTAGCTTTTCCAGTTTCTTTCCCAAAACAAAGAGTAGGAATTTCAGAGCCCTACCCCTAATTCTGTTGCCTCCCCTCCTCCAGTGTTTCATTTTCCAAGTTTTGTAGTGAAAAGGAGTACTTCATTTTTTAAAAAAATCAACCTTGTTATATTTAAATATGAAAAAATGTCATTTTTTTCTGTATACTTAATTTTATGCATTCACATTTGGCCAACCTCTTATTTTTGTAGTGCAATGCTGAAGATGTTGGGCTAAGACTGGGGAGGCCAAGGCCAAGGCCACCCTCACCATGGAAATATACTGGTGATTTAGGGCCAGTCTTTCTCTTTTAGTCCCAGTACCTCACAGGATTGTTTTATGGGGACAGTATGATCCCCATGTAAGCTTCCTTAACTACCCAGAAAAAAGTGATACAGAAACCTAACAAACAAACAAACAAACAAATAAATGTCTTTCTAAAATCTTCTCTCACCAAGGGCTAACCATTGCTTTTGTCTGGTGCCACCTTTGAAGCAACAAACTTACAGGGCTCAGCAGAATCAGGTGACTGAGGAATTGTTCTCCCAGAACAAGTGATTAGGAAACACAATTCCCAGTTTCAGTGATATATTCTTTGTTGTTCTGTACCAAGCTCTTGGTTATCAAAGTCATGTACTTAGGAGTCTTACTTCTATTTAAATAAGATATTCTATAAATAGGCACTTTGAGATTTCAATACAAAATGAATTTATACCCACCTTTCCCTGATAATGGTTTGCAAGCAACCCACACAGGGTTGATTTCCCAGATAATGGAGGGCCCACTATTAGTATTTTACAAGGTGGAAGTGGCATAGGAGGCAGCAGGTAGGAACGAGGATTCAGCATGAATTGTTTCAATGCTTCTTCTGTAGAAATCATGTACATCTTACCTAAGAAGCTACAAAGAAAACAATAGTATGGAACCAGAACCTTAGAAAGGTGGATTTTATATTAAGGCATAATGGACTTCTACCTACCTAACAGCATTGTCTGCCGATCCCATGATAATGTCACCATCTTTTAAAGCCACAGGACATGCTCGGCCCCATTTGCTTCGACGCCATCGGTATCTAGGTGCTACAGGTTTATAGGCTGCAAGCACCCGAAAAAGTTCATCCTGAGTGCCAAAATAAAACAAACAACAGAAGCCCATGAAAACACATTGTAATTGAAAAGAGAGGTGACAGATATTTTACCATCACATATTTTCAAACATTATGTCACTTATTTTCCATAGCACCAACTGTTAAAATAATCATTTTGTGTATGAATGCCACTGAGTGATGATGGCAAGGGTACAGATTTTATAAAAGGTTATAGACAAAAGCTCTTGGCAGAAGATATCCTTATATTTTTAGGATTGTTTTCCTTAGAAATAAAATGTAGGAATAAAAATATAAATATAGGAGATAATGAACAAAAATAATAAAGGAATGAGAAATCACAATGAACTGCTTGTCATCTGTACCTAGCACATTCTTTGAAGTTGTGTTTATATGCTTTAATCTGCTATGTGTAAGAAAAATCTATATCACCATTTATAACAACACTCTAATATGACAGTGTGCTATTTCTATAGGCAGAGTACATACAAATATCACACTTACATTTTCCAGGCCATCTAACATTTCTTCCTCTGCACTCTGAAGCCTGGTTATAAGAGCTCCATTCCGTTGGCCCATGGATTCGAGGCGGGTTATTACTGACTAAACAAAAACACATAACAGCTTATGCATAAAGTGCCAACAAATATTTTTGTTAGTATTGGGTGTTGGTTTTGAAATATAAAGCCAGTTTGAAAAAGTGCTTCAGTGTCTTTCAAATCCACCAACTATTTTTTATAAACAAATTAACCTGATTTAATTAAAGATACCAAGTGGGAATCACAGTCCTATGTCTGCAATCTCTAAAAGGTTATTATTATTAATATTATAATAATATTAGCATTATCATCATACTAATTATATTATTGTACATATGGGTTGAAGCCAGAGAGCTCCTTACCAAGATTTGACCTTGGCAGAAACCCTGTTGCCTTAAAGGAGGTAGGGTTGAAACTGGGAGAGGGTTGTAGAATTGGCAGTGAAAATAATGTGCATTCTTTGAAAAGGAATGACTGTTAGCATACTTACTTTAAAAAGTTCTTCTGCATTCTTGTTTCCATCCAGTTCAAAAAGATACTGAGAGTCGTGCTCAGCCATTAATTCCTGAAATTTTAAAACAGAAGTATGATTCAATATATAGATTGGATTTGATTCTGTTCCCATGACCTCAAATGATTGCACCGAGATATCTGGGGGAAAAAATGCGCTGCTATTTTTTGACATACTTTTCTGATACTTTTTTATTAATGTCTACAAAGTATAAAATATTGTAACTACAATATTATATTTGGCAAAGAATGTGGGGACTAAGTAAGTATTGCTAAGTATTCCTATGGTAATACAAAGAACTGCACTCATAGAAAGGACTTACAGGTGCAACTGCACTTATCCAACTCTGCCCTATGGGTACAGTGTAGCTTAGAATTTAACAAAGAAAGAATGTGGGGCTGGCAGAGGAGCCATATTTAACTGCTAACTTATTCACATTGTCCATACTATACTTCTTGACTGAGAATAGGCTAGATTTACATATCCATTCAAAAACCAGGCCATGTGGCAGGCAAGATCCCTCTAGAATCAAATGCAAATATCAATGGCTTGGCAAGCAACAGCTGTCCAGTATGCACCCCAAACACAACCCTCCAGTACAGAAACACTATTCATATCTCCCTACTTTTTGATTAATGCACATGGATATATGGAAAGAAAAGGAAATTTTTCCCCACATTTACAAAAGAGAGGAAATACATTTTAGAATACAGTAAAAATTTTAAACATTTTATATTTTGGCTCCCATATTGCTAATTCTACAGATTAGGTGAAACCATGATCACTTTCATCCCCTTTTTTGTTTTTAAAGCAGATGCCTAAATAAGGACTCCTTATTTGCATTTCGAAACACTCCTCTAACCAACATTGAAGAAAATCTGCAGTGCTGTTTCCCGCTATTTTGAGGAAGAACCACATGGAAATCATACTTTAACCTCCCAAGTAGAATTAATATTGCTTTAATTTTTTTAAAAAATTGGCATTCTTCCCCAAATCCAAATCTGTTCATGTACATGACACAGCCCTGTCCACTTTGGAGCACTACCTTACCCAGTTTGGTCTTGGCTCCTCCAAAAATATGAAGTTGGGCCACAATCATCAAAAGATTGCCAACTCCTTGCTCAAAGTACTATATAAATCCAGCCAGCTGTGATTTATTCATCCAACTATGGTTAATCAAACCACAGCTTACTAAAATATATAAGCTAGGTCTTAAAAATTCATTGATCTTATTAAAATCTAATTTAATCTTTCAGTTCTGTACTAATTATTGTTATGGCTATAGCTGTCTAAGTTTAGTGCAAAGTTTCATACTGGAGGTGAGCATTTGTGCTATCTGTATAATATAGCAGCTCTTGGATTCATGAGATAATTATCTATGCTTATCAGCAATAATAAAAGTTACAAAATTGATGATCTGGTAGTTTTTCTTTCCTTCTTTTCCTACTGCTAGGTGTTATTGCAAAGAGCTTATTCTTTTCTTACCTCTAGAGGACGTAGCATAATATCTTTATAGATATCAATTCTCTTTTCTGCATTTTCTATAAAATCTTCTGGCCTTTGCACTAAAGTTGGCAAAATTTCTGTCAACATAATTTGATCAGCTGTTGCCTAGGTGGAAGGAAAAAAAACACACCCTTATTTATAAAGTAAATGCATACAGCAAGCTTGGTTCTATCTCCTGCTCTGGAAGTATAAAATCAGCAAAAAGAAACATTAACTGTGGGCTCAGCTGAACAAAACTAATTGGTTAAAAACAATTTTCAGCAGTCTAGGATGAAATTGCAGCTAGCTTAGTTATGGATGGAACTAAATCTTTAGTAAAATTTCGTTCCTGAACAAAAGTGCAATTCCAGTTACTGAAATTGAAGTGATTTTGTAACTTAAAAAAAAAATCTTTTTCCTGCTGGAGTCCTTTTTTGAGGTAGCTTGAGATAGAAGCTATGACACTGTTCCTCAAGCATCTGATTCAATTTCACTCTCAGAACATTTGCCCATTACTGAATCATAGTGCCATCCTCCAATCCTTGAACTAGCACAAAAGAATGCTAGTGTGAAATCTGCTGTCTCCATTGCTGATCCTTCCTCTGCCTTTTTTTCAAGTTACTGTAGTCATATGTCCTCTTTCAAGGGTGACAAAGCTTAACAGGAAAGGACTTAAAATCTGGCTCTGCCAGCTTGCATGTGGTGACAAGAGTTGTAATCACTCCTGGGGGTGGCTGGGACCCTGATGACACTCCCTGAGCTGTTCGCCATTTCCATAATTCCCTGGAATTTAGTTATTATTTATTTAAGACTGTTTTAATATTGTATTTTAATTGATTTTATCTCCTCTGTAAATCACTCAGATTCGCTTTTTAATGAGATGGTGGTGAAAAATTTGATAAATAAATAAAGAACAGATATGCCATTTCTTAAATCTGTCCTTTGATAGTGTCAGAAAAGGAGAAAAATATTGCTTTAACATGGATACTATTCAGGACTACTGAAGTCTGTCTCACTAATGGGCTGGGAATGAGATGAAGGCTATGTCATGGGCACATGGCATAAAAAATACGTTCCCAAGGCATGTTTGAATTATGGTCATGTGTAGGTGGGGAAAGGCCCTCAGTTCATGCTTGCTGCCTAAGGTATTATGAGAACTAAACTTAAAACATCCAGAAGGTACCATGTAGTGTTTCTATTATTGGTGCATCATACTTGAATGCCAAGGCCAGGCTTACAAAGAGGTGTTCTCTTTACCGGTCCTGCAATTATGAAACTTTGCCTTAGAAAATTAGCAAAATTTACTTTAGTCATTTCCAGGACCATTTTTGCTGGAATTGATGTTTAGTCTGCTGAAGGAATCAACTAATTAAGGAACAAGGACTTTTTTTTTACAGTAATCCTTCTTGAGACAAGGCCACCTCCTCCATTAGGCTGTGGGCCAGTTGCCTCAGGGGCTGGAAGGGAGCAACAGAGAGCTATGTGTCATGAAGCCTGCCCTGCATCACCCAAACAAGCCTGCTGCCTCTGGAGGATGCTGTTTCCAGTGCCAGTGTTGAAGAATACTGCTAGTCCAGACAATTTTATACTTGGAATGGGAGGAGATACCAGCCAGTTCTTTGCTTCAGTAGGCCAGCCAAATGCCTTAGGTCAGCACTGGTCTGAGCCTTCAAAGTAAGGATACAAAGTTCAAATTGTTTTACTAAATTAATATATATAAAGGAAATCCTTTAATACTATTACAATGAGAGCAGATTTTTTTAAATTCAGTATGTAGAGTTAGGTTATTACATGTAACTGTAACACAACTTAATTTGTTTAACTTTATTAAAGAAGATTGTTGCATTGTTTAACAAATATTAAACAATGTGTTTCTGAATGATCCAAGGGTCTTCTTTTATCACTCATGCCCTCGTTACCTACTGTTTGGATTATTGCAACGCACTGTACATGGGGCTGCCCTTGAGCATTCGGAAGCTTCAACTGGTGCAAAATGCGGCTGCACGGGTAGGAAATGGCGCCAGACATACAGCACATGTAACACCACTACTACGGGAGCTGCACTCGTTGCCGGTGTGTTTCTGGGTGCAATTCAAGGTGCTGGTTGTTATTTTTAAAGCCTGCATGGCTTGGGACCGGGTTACCTAAGGGACTGTCTTCTCCCAATAGTTCCTACCCATCCAATTTGGTTTAGTAGATTGGGGATGCTGCGGATCCCGTCAGCCAAGGAATGTTGGCTGGTGGGGATCAGAAGGTGTGCCTTCTCAGCAGTAGCCCCTGCCCTTTGGAACATTTTTCCTCTGGAGCTCAGGATGGTCCTGACCCTGCTAGTTTTTCATAAGGCTTTAAAAACCTGGCTATGTGCCCAAGGCTGGAGTGCTGAGAGTGTTAGAGACCCCATTACCTGATTGCACTGTTAATTTTTATGAAATCATTATGATAATTCTCAGCTGCCTATATGCATAAATTGTAATTGTTTTAATTATTTTAATGATTGTGAAATTGTTCACCACCCAGAGTCATTTGGATTGAGATGGGTGGCTATAGAAATTGAATAAATAAATAGCCTTTTTAGGAAATATGGGAAAAATACCTCACTGGACTCCTCTTCCTCCTCTTCCTCTTCTGCTTCCTCATCCTCTTCTCCACTTTTATGTAATTCTTTCTTCTTTTTCCTACGCTTTTCAATAATATCAGGATCCCATTCTTCTCTTTGAAATATGTGTCCTGTTTCAGGATGCTGTCTTTGACCAGTGATTCTTTGGCACAAATCATTGTTAGGACACTAGTTAAATACAGGGGGGAAAAAGACTGTTATAAGATGGAAGTTGTTTCAAATCCAGTAAGAGAACTTTGTAACTCTTGATTCTAAGATCTCAAAAGGAGAGCCTTTACTGTTGATGTGCTGTACAGTTTCTTTTAAGACTAATACAAGCCAGTGGGCAACTTCTACCTTTCTGATAATGGGTTTAAAGGAGATAAGGATGGCTCAGAAAGGCAAAAATGAAAAGCAGAGATGACTCATCTTTGGTCACTCCCCTAGGAAGGGGAAATGAGGGCAATACGTAGTACTGAAATTCAATCTTCAAAAGAGGCAGAGAGCTATCTGCCATTGCTATAATTCCCCTGAAAATCTGATATAAAGTGCTGAGGTGTTGATGCCATTTTGTTCTCAGCCTTGTATCATAGAAATGCCATCAGTCAGCCATCTAAGGCAAGGATCAGTGGCAAGTTTTTTTCCACAGGCCACATTCCTCCTCCTCCTCATTGGATACATAGATATTGTTACTTAAGAAATTGTTTATCCTTGGGAGGGCGGAGCTGGCGTCGCGGCGATACGGCGGGCGATCCTGGGCTCCCAGGATCGC